TATATCCATACAGTGGATTATTATTCATCCATAAAAAGGAATGAGTACTGATACACGCTACAATATGGATAAACCTTGAAAACCTTATGTTTCGTGAAAGAAGCCAGACACAAAGGCTAAATATTGTGTGGTTCCACTTCTATGAGATATTCAGAATAGGCAGATCCAGAGACAGGCAGTAGGTTAGCGGTTGCTTAGGGCTGGGGGATGGGGGAATAGCTGGGTGATAGCTAAAGGGTGTGTTTTTGAGGTGATGAAAATGTTCTAAAACTGACTGAGGCGATGGTCGCACATGTCTGTGAATATACCAAAATCCATTGAATTGTGTACCTTAAATGGGTGAATTGCATGATATGTGAATTATATCTCAATAAAGCTATTGTAGGAAAAAAGTGCACCCAGAGAAGCTCGCTTCCACTCCCATCCTCTCTGCCCAGAGGCACAGGAGTTCTTTGTGCAAAAATAAGCAAAGTATATATATACATATATATAATTTTTTTAAATGTCCCCTACTTTCTTACACAAGCAGTGGTGTCTTATATGTGCTATTTGACACCTTATCTTTTTTTTTTTTACCTTAACAGTGCACCCTACCGCTGACTGTGTCCATCTCCCTCTTTCTTTCTGATGGTGCACAGTACTTCCTGGGGGAAGTGCCACGCACCACCAGGAACACGTGTGCCGCCTGCTGCTTCATGTCTGTCCGCGTGGTTCATGGGGAGGCTCCTGGATCCCAGGGCATGTGAGCGCAGGTTTGGAGCTGTAGCACACTCCCCTTCATAGCAGCAGAGCCGCTGTGTCTCCCTGCAGCCGGGTAGCTGGTCCTTGATTGTGCAGAGATGCCTCCGTGTTCTCATCTATAAACCGGCTGCTGTGGGAATCAAGCGAGTCAGTACAGGTCAAGGATGGAGAACAGTGTCTGGGACATAATGAGCATGATTTAAGTGGGAACTCTTATTATCACCACCCTCACCTTCAAGGCCAAGCGAGTCACTGTCTGGCTGGGAAGCTCTGCCCGCCGCCTGGCACAGAGCCTCCTCTTTGCTCTTTGAGGGCGGAAATAGCTGTGGCTTCACCCCAGAGCACAGCGGGGCTGAGAAGTCCCGTCTCATGAGGAGCATTTGAGCAGAGGCCTGCATGGAGTGAAGAGCAACCTTGATACCTGGGTCAGAAAGCTGTGTGCCAGAAGCTGCAGGGAGGCCCCTGTGGCTCCAGCAGGGTGGGGACTGGCAGGAAGGTAGGGGAGAGGGAGAGTTCTGGGAGAGAGGCAGGTGCCAGGTCAGGTAGGGTCTAGCGCCATTGTGAGTGGGAAGGGAGGCCTTCTTCGGGTTCTCGGGTTCTCATCAGAAAAGGACTTGTCCCTCTGCCTCCGCATTTGAAAGGTCTCCCGAGGGTCTGGGTTGGGAATAGGTTGCATGCAGCCTGTAAGTGGTGGCTGCTGTCTTAGTCCAGGCACGAGAGGATGGGGTCTGGAGTGAGAGTGGCAGCCAGGGAGGTGCTGCAAAGCTTTCAGAGGGGGATCTACTTTGAAGGTGGCCAACAGAATTTGCATCTATCCATCTCCAAGTGCAGCAGGGCCTAGCTGGAGCTTAGGAGTGCATCCAGAGCTGTTAGCAACAGGCCTCTGTCTGCTGCAGAGGCCTTCTGGAAGTTTCTAGGGTGTGTGGGGGGGTTGAGAAGGGCAATCGAAGACATGAGTATGGGTCCCCAGTTGGGGCTCTAGGCCCTGTCCCCACCTGACCCATGTCTGGGGCTGGTGCGGAGCCTACTCTGTTAAGATAACATGACCAGATTCTTCACTGAATTTCCAAAATGTCACCTGCCCAAGTCCCTCTGCTTTGTGGCCCTTGTATGATCCTACCCAAGATATCCCCAGGGGTCGTCTGGACACTGTGGCCCCAAGGGCTCCAGAACATGGAGGAAGCAGCCGCACGGGATGAAGCAGAGCAGCAGTGGCCCCAAAGAACGGGCCTGAGGGAGTGGAAGAGACAGAGTCCCTGGGACACCCCTGCAGGCCTCTGCAGGGAGCTGGAAGCCCACCAGAGCAGGTTGAGGACACAGGACATGTGGTCGTGCCAGAGAGGAACCTGGAGGATTCCGGTCACAAGGCTGCTGCTGAGGGGCTACTCACCGCAGCTCCAAGTTCAGCCCCTCACTGGCTGTGGCCGCAGCCATGGCCTGCTGAGCCTCAGAGCCCCCTCTGTAAATGAGAAGGATGGAGTCCGCCCTCACTCTCTCTGGGGATCATCGTCAGCATCAAATGGGCTCATGTGAGTAGAAGCACCTTAAAATTACAAAGTGCAAAGAACAACGCAAGTGATGATTGTCATCATTATTACCCAAGACTGGGGCATCATTTTCCTATCATGTAAGTAGTGTGTGTGTGTGTGTGTGTGTGTGTGTGTGTGTGCGTGTGTCTAGAGTGGATTTAACACAATCTCAGAACCAGAAGGCTGAAGGACATCTAGGGGGACAGAAGTACAAACTGCAGCAGCAGAAGCACCATCGAGGAGTCCCTGGGCACAAGCTGAGCACGAAAGCTGACCAGGGCGTTCTGCTGGCCAAAGGGTGATGCCAGAGGTCCTCTCAGCCGCAGTCCAGGAAGAGGGCAGACAGTGAGGGAGGCCGGGCACACTCCCGAGGACACGGATGCAGTGGAGAGGACTCTCTGAAGGATCAGTGATCGGTGTGGACACTGCAGGGAGCCTGCACGGACATCTGGTGTCGGAGGGCCACGTGCATGGTGAGAGGTTGAGACAAAACAGGAATGTGTGTTCTCACGTGGAGCTAAGTGGAGCCGTGAAGGAAAGCAGAGCTTTGGGAGGTTGCACAGAGACCTCAGGGTCTGGTTTAGAGGGAGTGGCAGGATGTTAGCACCTGGGTCTCAATGAAGGGGCCCCCTGACTCTGGCCATGCTGTCACACATGCTGTTTCACACCCATCTGCCCATATGGGAATCCTGAGCCTTCCTGGTTTCTACAGAAAACCCCCTTACTGGGAGCAGTTCACGAATTCCAGGAATTTACTGGAGCCTTGGGAAGCGAGAGAGTTGCTGCCCTGCCTGGCCCCTCTCCCCTCCTTCCCACCCTGTCTCCTCACTCCCTCTCCCAGACTGTCCCTGGGACCCCCTGCTGGCCTGGACAGCACAGTGTTCCACAGCCCCGCCCACAGCCCCACCCACAACCCCACCTCACTGTGCCACCGCCCCAGTCTCCCACAGCCCCCCATAGACCCCCTCCACAGCTCCCCTACAATTTTACACAGCCCCATCTCACTGTCCCACCTCCCAGTCCCTCACAGCACCCCCTCCACAGCCCCCCACAACTCCCCTTACAGCTCCATCCCACTGTCCACTTCCTAGTCCCTCACAGCACCCCCTCCACAGCCCCCCACAACTCACCCCCACAGCCCCATCTCACTGTCCCCCACAGCTCCCTCCACAGCCTTCCACCTGGCAGAGCATGCTTCCATTCCCTGTTTCAGCAGCCTAGTGAGGGTCAGGACAAGGTGCTTCCGGCTGAGGGGACCATGGAACTGCCTGGGGACAGGGATGCCAGGAAAGGCTTCAAGAGGACACCATGTGTGGTCTGGGTCTTAGAGGATGAGTGAGACTCAGCTCAGGGAGCAGACCAGGAGAAAAGAGGGTAGATAAATACAAGGATAATCCAGAAAAAGTGAAAGAAGAGATAAGATACAGAAGGTTGAGTCAGCAAGTCTACCTTCAACTAATAGGAATCCAAAAAAGCAGAGAACGTGGAGGGAGGAAAATTAGCAATAAAATATTAGAAGAAAACATTTCCAGTCCTAAAGAGACACGGAGTCTTCAGATGGACTAGTTCATGGAACACAGGATGAAGGAAAAATGACCCTTCCTTAGAAATATCTGCATGAAAGTTGCAGAACAACAGGAAGTAAGAATAGGTTGAAAGGTTTCTAAGAGGGTGAAAGACACCCAGGAAGTAATTTTGAACCTAGTTTTCTATCCTCGGCCAAATTATCAGTCAAGCATGGGACTAAATAAAGATATTTTCACACCTTCAAGGTGTGAAAAAAATATACACCTCTTGGACGGTTACTGGAGGATGTATTCCAGCAAAGTGAGAAAGAAAACTGAAAGAGAAAGATATAGCATTTGGACTATAGAGTGACCCTCCCAGGGGCAGTATTACTGAGGGCGTCCCAGGGTGACAGCTGTGTGAAGGTCCAGGGATCAAGAAGCCAGATCAGGTGGGAGCAGGGAGAGGGCTGGGGAGGAGGTCTTGGGAACAAAACAGTGGTGAAATCGAGGCTTGGGCAGAGGCACATCATTAGTTTGTTAACGAGAAAGAAGAAAGGCAATTAAAAGCTACAGAGTAATACATATATCTAACAAAATTAAGTTTCAAATACAAAGCAAACTAAAATGTGATATGATTTGAAGCTACTGATGGAGTGTTAAATGTGTTCACTCAATTTGCCCTTGATGCTAAGAACATCCTCCTGAAATGGTCTGACTAGTGAAGGTGACTGTAGGCTCACAGAGAACGAAACGTCCCCTAGCCCAGGGTCCAGCTGAGCAGTGAGTGACCTGTAACACTGTCATGCTCACAGCCCGGCTGGTGCAGAGGCTCCCGCTGCACCTTCAGAATCCTCCTTTACTACAGACAGAATTTGCAAGAGTAAATGACTGAGGGGCGGAGGGGGCAGGACGAGTGGATGACAAGGGCCATGGGACCTTCATCTTTCAGGAAGGGAAGGCACAGAATAAAGCTGGAGTAGCAGACATACGAGGAAATGTTCTGTAAAGCTTCAGAGAGAACCCACAGGAGAGCTCAAACAGTCCTCGCGATGGCAGCGCAGGGTGGAGGAGATGGAGTTAATCATTTCTCTTTCACATCAGGACCCAGTATACTTTGTCAAGTGCTCATAAATCACAAAACAGAAGGACGGACAAGCATTTCATCCAGGCTTAAGGGAATAACCAACAAGATATTTAAAACCAGAAATGATAAAAAAGGGTTAGCCCTGGGGTGGTGGAGCTTTTGGGGGAGGGTCAGGGGTGGGAGCAGGGGGAGAGAGATATTTTATCACTACAGTTTTTTGTTTTTTTTAACCTTGTTCATATGTATTACTTTGATTAAAATTCGTAAATGTTAACAATGAAACGAATGATCGAATTACTTCCCAAGTCCTTGAACCCATGACTCTACACTCCAGAAAGCAAAGGAAACATATTTTGCTGTTTTACTTTGCAAAGTATTTTCACTGGCACTTTCTCAATTACCTTTACAACCATCACCAAATGTATTCAGAGCGTGTGTTCTTTACCCTATTGTGTACATGGAGGGAAGAAAAAAGTTTCAAATATTTACCTATGGGTACATTGCTAGCTGGGATGAAGAATAACAGTACGAATAATAATAGCAGCCTCCCAACCCCCAAGTGGGCGCCTCCAGGTACCAGAGCAGGGAACTGCACCCCCTCCCTGCGGTCGGGGCTGGCAACTCTCCCGTCTCAGATCAATGAACCCTCTCTCCATTCAGAGCCTTCCCACCAAGGAGCTCCGCCCTCTCCTCCCCTCCCCTCCCGCTGGAGAAGTTCTATTTTTATTTCTGGTCATTGCAAGGCTTATGTCTCAGCCAGCACCGTGCTCCAGTGCTCCGGGTGCCAGGCTCCCTGGCAGAGCCCCTATTTCAGGAGCAGAGCCCTGCCCAGTGCCAAGGGGTGGGGGGGCAGCCTGGTCGCAGCTGTCTCAGCACGCTTCAGGCTGCACATTACAGGGCCAGCCTGCAGGCCCACCGGGACGATCCCAGATGACTCACAGGAGCCACATCCGTCGACCACGTAAAATTGTCAAACATTTCACACCGAAGCAAATTCGGAGAAAGAAAAAACAAATCCCACAGCTCCCACCACCTAGTTCTAATCCTAAATAAATGCAATGTTGCAGGTACAGGTGAAACCTACTCGGCTGTTCTGAGCCACCTGGTCCTGACTCTCCATGTGGTTCTGTGCTCTTGGTCTACAGGGATGGATGCAGGAGTAACACAGTCATCGCTCTGTGTGCTTTTCAGCTCTCACAAACATGAGGTTATGGCAGTCCTTTCTTTTTGCAACTGGCTTTCTTTATGCAGCACTGTTTTGGGATATTCTATGGTTAATGCACTCAATTCTGCATCGCACCTTTGCACTGATGTGCAGGCAGCCACTGGGCATGTCGCTCCTCGTGTGGACACACACTGGGGTCATTTGGGGTGGGTCCAGGTTTTGCTCTCCATGAAGGCAAGGCCATGGAGGCTGGAGGCTGTCTCATTGAGTTGGGAGGGCTCTCCCCCGGCAAGCTCTTAGCCTCACAAAGGTGCTATTGTGGTTTTTAGTTACAAAAGTTATACCTGGGTAGTTTTGAAAATTTAGAAAATAAACAAAAATAAGTAAATAAAAATAATCTATGCTTTCCGCTACCTAAAGATAACAACCGCTTGAGTTTTGTGTCTTTTACCAGTATTTTATTCTGTACATATAAATATGTAAGCACAATTATATAGCTAGAGAGAAAAATTTTTTAAATAAAATGTGATTATACTTTGCACACTGCTTTATAACCTGTCTTTTTCACTTAATATATTAGATATTGGAGATATTGGATGCTGCATAGTTCATTTAAATAATCCCCTATTGCTATATACATTATTTTAAACTTTTTGGTAGTTTTAACAGATAACTTTAAATTTTTTATTATTTAATATTTGCTGCACTCATCTGAATATACGTAAAGGAAGTGCGAGTTTCGACTCCCACCCCAGCAAGGGCCCGTCATCGCTGATGCTGGCTGAGTGTGCCTCCTGGGGCCCTGAGCCTTCACAGCAGAGGCACCCGCCCCCTGGATTTTGGGTTTGTGCTTCCATTATAATCAAAGTTCATGAACTGGCAGCTGGGCTTCCCAGAGTGGAAGGTTCATATAAGAAACTCTCTAGACCGGGGTTGGGAGAGAGCAGCAGAGCCCTGGACGGAGCCACCCTCCCTGCCCTGGGTGTCCAGCCCACACAGGCCGGCAATCTGTCTCAGTTAAGCCTCCAGAGTGTGCTTTCAGTTAGAAAGAGCAGGAGACAGATGAGAGGTGGGAGTCACTTAAGTCTCTCAGAGCAAGCATTCAATAACTATTTTCCCAAAGCAATAACGATCGATAAGCGGCCCTTGCGTGGCTGGCGTGTGTTGATGACTCCTCTTACGAGGTGCACAGAGAAGTCTGTTGATGGTGCAGATCATATTGATATTTATGGTGGATTCTCAGGCAGTGCTCCCAGGGAATTAGTAAGTAACTTATTGCCCCATTGTTGTGAGGCTGGGAATGGAAGACACTGTGACAGGAGCCAGTGTAGAGACGCAGACTGAGCTCCCGAGCGCCGCCTCCCCGGGCCTCACTTCCGGGGATCCTCGTTTTCTCTCATTTGCGAATGAGGGTAATGACCCCCAGCACCGCCCTGTGCTGTCTGGCTCTGGGTGCCGGGAGCAAGCAGTCACGGCTGCATAGGTGCCTTCCGTGCGGAAAAGGATCCGCTTGGCTGCGTGGAGGGCCCTAAGGGGAGGCGTGAGCCCCCTAACTGCCTGGGACTGAGTGGTCCTGGAGGATGCCCGTGGAGGGGAGGCCGGCCCTGAGGAGCCCAGGGTTTGGTCACAGGCACAATTCCAGTGGACAGGGCACCTTACATCTCATGCCTCCATGTGACCCTATACAGATCCCAACCAAGCCCGTTTCCCCCATGAGGAGGTGAGGCTCAGAGAATGCCCTCTCTATGGCTGCAAGGGCAGCATGTTCCGAGCTGAAAGCCTGGCCTGGTCGCGTCTGGTGCCAGGACCCAACCTCGCTGAGAGGGAGGGCAGTGCAGGCAGCTGAGGGTCAACTGGGCTGTGGTTCTTAGAGGACCAATCACTTTTTTAGAACTATAGTGCAGTGACTAATATTTTCCTTGTTGTTATTTTTACTTTCCAGAGCCTAACAACTGAAGGAAAATATTTTGAAGGACCACAAAATACAGGTGGAAGCAGTTCAGTCCAATCTCATTTACCACGTTAATCCTGCCCTTGCAGGGGGACTGCAGGGTTCTCCCAGCCACGTAGGAGTTGGTCAATGCTGCATTTCTCCAGCTGCAGGCTGAGCTGCTGCTTTGCTCTCCACAGCTCAGGGAGTGCAGGAAGGACATGAGGGACAGGTGGAGAGAGTACCCCGGATTATCCAAGTGGTCCTGATGTAATCACAAAGCCCCTTATAAGAAGAGGAGGCGGGAAGTCAAAGAGGAGAGAATCTGCTGCATTTGAAGACAGAGGAAGGAGCCAGGAGCCAAGGAACACAGGCAGCTTCTACCACGTGGGAAGGGCAAGAAGCAGATTCTCCTCTGGAGACTCCAGAAGGAACCAGCTCTGTTGACACCTTGATTTTAGCCATGTAAGACTCATTTCGGACTTCTAACATATAGCGGTGTAAGAGAATAAATGTGCATGGCCTTAAACCACTATGTTTGTGGTCATTTGTTATAGCAACAGGAAACTAACACAGGCTCTATGCTTCCAGCACCATCTCCGTCAGAAGCAGCCCGTCCTGTGTACCACTGCTGTGGAGTTTCTGACCTGTGATGGTGGAGTCAGGTCAGAGCAGAGGCAGCAGCCCTGCCAGGAGTAGCAGGGTGCTGCCGCTGGGTGAAACTGCTTTCCACTTGGAAGGCCTTAAGAGTGGTGCTAATGGCAGGAATTTTGTCATGGGATTGATGAGGCCTGACAGGGGGGACTGAGCCACCCACGTCCTCAGAATAAGTTACACAGTCTAACCTGTTATTTGAGGCCCTCTGCAGTCAAGCCCAACCCACCCAAGGCCAGCCCACATCCCAATGTGCCTGATGGAGCCATAAGGAGATAGTTTTGAGGAGTCTTGATGATTATGCCCCAGTTGGTCCCCCTGGAAAATGCTGTGGCCCTACCTTTGTATACTAACCAGGCTCCCTTGCAGAAGGCAAATCCCTGCGTGGCATTCCTGGCAGGCAGCATTTCAGCCTCTGCTTGAATACCTCCAGCACTGGGGTGCTCGCTGCCTGCAGGCCAGCGCCAAGTAATGGTAAATTCTTGTACTTTGTGAGCCTTGGCCAGCCTCTGCCCTCTGGGACGACACTCCCTCCACCAGCTGCCAACCCCTCACCTGCTCGAAGACAGCTCTCTGCTCACTCCCAGGCCCTGTGTTCCCTGGAGACCTGCTGCAGGCCAAGTTGGCGCAGCCAGGGTCTCCTCCAGATTCTATGCGGTAAGATGGGTCTCTCAGCCGGTATCCACATGCTTTGTTTCGGCGGATTTGGTCAGGGACCTACCGTCATCCTGCTGCCCCACTGACCTTTTTTTTTTTTTTTTTTTTTGTGAGGACGATCAGCCCTGAGCTAACATCCATGCTAATCCTCCTCTATTTTTGCTGAGGAAGACTGGCTCTGAGCTAATATCTATTGCCAATCCTCCTCCTTTTTTTCCCCAAAGCCCCAGTAGATAGTTGTATGTCATAGTTGCACATCCTTCTAGTTGCTGTATGTGGGACACGGCCTCAGCATGGCTAGAGAAGCAGTGCGTTGGTGCACGCCCAGGATCCGAACCTGGGCTGCCAGTAGCGGAGCGCACATTTAACCGCTAAGCCACGGGGCCGGCCCCCCACTGACCTTTTTAATTCTCACTCTGCTAACCGGTACATTAACTACGACATGCCTGCCTATGTGCAAACTTCCCCACACTCACAGCACTTCACCTCACCTCCACAAATGGGATCTTTTAATCCAAGTCCTGACAAAAACGCACAGGGGGTGGGGCTCATGAGTGTCCTGAGGTTGCCCGCTGGCTTGCTCGGTGTCACCAAGTCACTGCTCAGCCCCAAGGTCCTGTCTCCACAGACCCTCTCCCAACACCGCCTATGTGCTGTGTTTGTGTCACACACACTGATGTTTGTTTTTTAAACATCAGGAAAACCTATTGCTTGAGTATTCTCTTCCTTCTACACTCCGGGGGCCTCTCAAGGTCTCAGGAGATCCCTGCTTCCCAAGACGGGGGCTCCCCAAATGCCAGGCCCCCAGCTTTTGGAAAGGAACCCCAGCAGGAGCCCACAGCCTCTTGTGACATCACAACTGACGACTGCTGTTTTTTTCCCGTCAATATTTTTAAAGCGTTCGGACTGCTCTCAACACGCAACTATTTATGGAAGTGGATCCATCCGCTGTTGTCGTTATCTGAGGAGTTCCTGAGCAAGAAGGAACCATTTCTGAGAAGGCAGAACAACGGCTGTCCTGGGAAAACACTCCAACCAAGACTGAGCTCCAAATGTCTGGGCACTAAGACTTTTGTTTGAAAACATGTGCTGGTTATCGTGAGGTTTCAGCATGTGCTCAGGTGCATTCACTTCACACCCCCTCCTCCTCATCTATGACACAGCAAACAAGCTTTTATCAGGAAACGCCTGCCCGTGTAGATGTCGTTTTAGGAAAAGTCATCTTTGACCACCTGCAGTGCCTTACCTTGTTGTTCCTATTTCACATTTCTTCGTGGTTTTCATGTACCCTATAAACAATGGGTGATAACCTAAGAATCTTGTCAGTCCGACCAGTCCTGGGTCTGCACTTGGCTGCGGGCTGCGCCTAGAGGGCGGCACCGCATCTTCCTTCCTCACGCCGCTGCAGGCACAGGTCACGGGGCGGGGCCCCATCCCCACCTCCTCCGGCCGGGTGCAGCCTTTCCACTGCCGGTTGTGGACGTGCCTTGTTTTGGGGGCAGCCGGGGGTGGTTAATCATCACAGGGGACTTAAATGAGCTCTGGTATCAACACAAACCGTTCTGCTCCCCAGACCCCCAGGGCCCTCGGAGCTGTCCTGGGAGTGCCGGGCTGGCCCATGCGGCAGCAAGCTTTGGGGTCAGTTCCCCTAGCAACCTCAGGGACTTCAGTGGCTGCAAACAGGGCGTTTTCTGGGCTTTGGGCAGAAGGGCGAGGGGAGCAGGTGTCTGGCTGAGTGACAGTGTGGTCTCACTAACTTTCAGAACATCTGAGGCTGACTGGGGTTGAGATGTCACAGTTGCAGAGGAGAGGAAGCTCAGGTGTTTGTGGGGGTTCCTAAGAACAAGCACTGCACCCTGGGCGGGAACCTACCATTGCACCCCCTTGAGAATCCACCTTCCTCCTTAGTGCTCTTGGGGATGGAATTGTGAGGCTGAGCTTTTTTGGGAGGGAGGGGGAGGGTAGGGGCTGAGGGCTGGGAATGTGATAAGCTGAAATACGCCCAGCTAGGCAGGAGGGGACAGCTAGAAGGGCACTCACTCTCTACAAAGGGCTCTTCTGCAAACCCATCTTTCCTCTGTGGGGCCTGCAAAGTTCCAGGTTGGTTTCTGCCCCTCAGCCAATTACATACAACTGCTTGAGTCTGCCCATTTCGGTTCCCCTCTCTTCCCAGAGCCTCCCCGAGGCATGCCCTTCAAAAGAACCAGCTTGACAAATAAAATAATGAATCATAAATTTTATTTCAAAATGTAAACGTCACTAAACATGCATACACGTTAAAACAATAAAATTTACAATTTAGTTAATTTTTTTCTTTTTGCATAGGACATCATTACAATATAGAATCTATGCCATACAAAATACATACAAAGTTTTATCTGAGCAAGCCAAGGCCAGATTGGGAACTGTACAACTGTAATACTTCACTGTAGTGATCCAGGAAAGATGAAATGCAGCTTTCGGAAGCATGGTGTGGTGCTGGTTAAAAAAAAAAGTTCCTATGGAAAAGGAAAAGTGTGTGCTCTATGGAAATGGTCTTGGACCCTCGGATTCTGCCTTGGGATTTTGGCAAATGATTCCAGAGAAGCTCCATCAATGGCTTTGGATGGGGAGGGGTCATTTGCGAGGGTCTGGGGGTGACTGAGGCCCCAGTGCATGCACCCAACACACCCACACAAGCAATTCCTGGTCACGTGGGAGCCACAACAAGCCCCACACCTGACAATGCATAGCTGCTCGGGAGAGCCTCCAGCCATGGCCTTCAAGTCCTTGGGGTCCTCAGCACACGGGGACCCTTCAGGGTAAGGCCAATGGAGTGACATCTCCCACCCACACAGGCACCCTGACCCAGAAATGGATGCCCCTGCCAGCGGTGTCTGAGCCACACTGGGAGGTGGCCCCCTCGCTCCACATGGAGGGCAGGCTGGGGAGGGAGCCACCCGTGCTCTGAGTGAGAGGGACAGGCTTCAACCAGACCTGTGATCACCTTGCAGGCACTCAGCTCACATACTTGCTTTCCAAATGAGCGTGTGCAGCAATCTGTCTACAGGTCACTAGGATCACATCCCTGAGCCCTGGGAGAAAGCCGATGGTGTGGTCCACCCCATGCTTCCTGTGTCCCCCACAGGGAACGTATGATGTGTGGGGCAGGGGATGCTACTTCTCTCCCATCCTGTTCATTTTTAAATAATAGTAGTAAGGTTTTAAAGCTGCACGAGAAGGGGAGAGGCTGGGCAGGGCCAGGTGGCTGCACTGCAGGTCTGACATCTCAAGAGTGGTCAGTAGAAACCAAGTGTGCCCCTCCGCCCTCGTGGACCGGGGGCTCACATCACCCACCAAATCCAACTCTCCTAACCAATGAGGGATGGAACAGTGGGTAGGGAAAGGGCCTCTCCCTAAATGATGTTCAGTCATTTATGAGTAGTAAGCTGGATTGGGCATTCAAATTCTGGTACAAAATTCTCTGGAATGTGTCTAGGACAAACTTTTGAAACCTAGCCTCAGAATCAGGAAAATCAGTCATGGGACCTGGCTCCTTCTAAGGTGTTTCTGAATTCAAAAAGCATCAGCCCACATCCTCGATTTTAGCTTTGAAAAACATGGTCACCATAATTGCATATGGAATCTTTGGATGGCAAAACATGTGGGTGACATAAGAGCATTTCTTACTGCTTGCGATGACCAGTACATCAGACCTTTACCTTCTAGCACTGTGCCTTTGACTGAATGACCTTTTAAAAATGCGCTAAAAAAGAAAAAAAAATCAGTAATACCTGTCAGAAGTCAAAATAATCATGTAGCCTTGTAAACACAGCCAGAACCAGGAGTTGAGAATGAGGGGATGCTATTGCTCAGATCATGTTTTCCTGTTAGGCAGCACTCCTGCTCGCTGAGACCAAGGATGAAGTCCCTGGGGAGTGCCATGACAGCATGCAGTCCACCTTAGCACCTTAAGAAAGGTGCTTCTGGCAAGAAAGGTGGCTGCGTCTTCTGGAGACTCTGGGCTGGGTGGCAGAAGACCTGAATGGAGACCCCAGTTCTGCCACACTTCACTTGGAACCACAGAAAGCCACCAGCCCTCTCTGCATGTCCCAACAAATGGGCTGGGGGCCGCCTGTGGCCTGTTTGCCCCACCCCTGAATCACCCTTCACTGGTCTGAGCTGTGATCCAGGGCACAGTGAGGTCTTGGGACCTCAGTGCCGCTGATGTTTGCACCTGGAGGCTGCACCGTGGCGAATCCTGCACCTGCCCGGATGCATGGCCTCAGAATAAAGGAGGTGTGTGTCCTGAACCTCGAGTGCTGGGGGTGGGGGTGCGGGATGCAGGTAGGGTACCTCCAGGACCACGTTCCCATCAAGGGCATCACTGCCTGTTCCTACGTAGCACCTGACAGGAGAGGACCCCAGGGCCCTCTGTGGAAGGGACTGTGTCCATTTGTCTTTCTGGATGGCTGTAAGATTCGGTAGGCATATGGGGAGCTGACAACTCTTCCCCTAATATAACTGAATACAAAGAGGGGATTTCTTGTTTGGGATGTGAGCTGAACACCAGCCCCCTGATGGTTGAGTCTAGGGTTAGTTTTAGGCCTTGTTGGAGGGGAACTCTCCCTTTACTCAGGCAACCTTTGCTGTGAGATCTCTGCCCCTTGGCCCGCGAGAACTGATGTCTGCCACAGATAAAGGTTTGAGTTTTCACTATGATTTCTAGGAGTCCTATGGGTTCCTCAACACACTGAAGCCAGCAAGCATGGCCATAACCCAGAAAAATGAAAGACCCTGAAACAGACCCAGGCTGGGAAGACATTCTACATCTTAGAAGAAAATGCAGGCTGTTTCAGGAGGGGGCTCCCATGTAACTGCTTTCAGTGGGGCTTGAGCGAGGGCATCTTTACAAGGCCCACCACCCTCTTCCACGTGCACCCCACATTTCGTGATGATGAGGTGCTAGTGAGAACCCATTTGAACCTAGCCTGAGAGTCAAAGATTTTTCCCGCCCTTCAAGTGAGATGAATTTTAGCCCCAGGTGGGTCCTGATGGTCTGCTGCCTGAGCCCCAGGCCGAGTGCCCAGAAGTCCAGGCAGCAATTCCCTCCAGGTGCCCTAAGTCAGAAGAACAGTGTCCCACCTCCCAGGCCAGGGCTCAGGCAGAAGGGCCGCACCCTACCATTAGACAAGAACCACTTTGGGAATGAAGACACGCTCATTTGCCAAAAATAGCCAATGCCTGCATATTTCTGTTTTAAGGCAATGTTACCCTTCCATCTATCAGACGGAACAGCCCTGGGTCATTGAGAAGAAAAATTAAATTAAGTGCTCTCTTTGGAAACAGCAAACGCCCGTTTTCCCGCCCCCACCCCCCACCCCGCCTCTAAAACAAACCGGCTCTTCTTTTATTCCAAGACCACTGGGTTTAGAGTCCTTTTCCCCTTCCTATGTGCAGATAGATGTGGGGTTAGAACCCCTCCTTCCAAGATGCCATGGGCACATCACAAGGAGACCCTGGCTCCTCCAGGGACAGCACTGCGCGGCCTCCGAGAGACACGCAGCTCCCTCTCCCTGCCTTCGGGGACCCGTGGACAGTGAGCGCACCAAAGGACTTTGGAATAAAATTCCTGAACCTGGAATGTGAGTTCCTGAGACATGAAATGTATTCAGAGTGTGGCTTTCTCTGCCTCACACAGAAACGACTTTGGGAGGGGCCTCTGAGGGCCCTTCTGGGCCTTACTTTGGAACTGGGCATGAAGTTCTTCCACCCCAAGCACTCAGGGCGCTCTTCTGTCCAGGTCTCCACAGCATACTCCGCTCTCTCTCCCAGACCAAATGCAAGCAGGGCTGTCACGCAGCCCAAATGGAGCGTGGCGGCCACGGCAGCCAGCTCTGCACCTGACCAGGGAGGGGCCACCCCCCCACTGGTCCCCACCCCATTGTTCCCGCCCATCTCCCACCCACAGCAACAACAATGCTACTGCCCAACTTGGTACCTAGCATGCTACTCAGAGGCCACCAGCACACCACTGGCCAATTCCAGCTGTCACACAGTAGAGTTAGAAGTGGGCACCCAGTGTTGCAGATGGCAGACTGCCACCTTCATGGTAGCTGTGGACAGAGGGTACCTGTCCACTCTGGAGTTGGCCCAAAGCAGCAGCCAGGGGCTGGGGGCACCAGCCACACTTGGGTCTCTGGGGTTTCTCTGTGCTGCATCCCACGCTGTGGGAAAGTGGGAGTGGAAGCAGGATGGCCACAACCAAGGCACTCTGGGCCCAGGAAGCTCATCTATAGCCCTCTGAGGTCCCAAGGGTCGTTCCTCCTCATCAAAATGAGCAGAGGTCTCTGAAAGATACCCCACATTCGCCCCAAACTCACACCCCCACCCCAACACACACATACACACACACACACATACACACACACACTGTCCTGGGAGCTGTATTTACAGGCCCTAACTCTTGGGAGGAAGGGAAGGGCAGTGCCTGGGCAGCGGCACTGGGATGGATGCTCCAGCTGTCTGCAGAGGAACGCGCTGCAGCCCGGTCTGACCAACCCGCCAGGGCTCGAACCCCAACCCAGCCCAGGCTGGGGCTCCAGGAGAAACTGCTCTGGGAGAAGCTGCCCAGCTCTCTCCTCCTTCTCTCCTAGCAGGAGTGGGCTGGTGGTGGGGCACTGCAGCCCTAACACGGTGCAGGCAGGGTGTGGGCTGGGGCCTCCAGAGCAGGAGGGGAGAAACAGGAGGGAGAGGGAGGAGTTGGGGGCGCAAAGCTCGAGAGAAGCTGGAGGTTCGCTAATTCTGAGCTGGGCACACGGTGGGTCTGAGAACAGCGTTTCCCACAACTCGCTGCCTCGTGTTCCCTGGGGAGGATGCAGAATGCACATTCTCCGAAAGCGTTTCCCATACTGTGTGCTTCGCCACTCCAGAAAGTTCCAAGTCACAATGCTCCACTCTCTCGCTACAGAACAGTCTCTGCGAAGCACCGAGTGTAGCCATAGCACAGCCCCACACACAGAACCTCTGGCAAGGCGGCCCCCAATCCCCCTCACTGCTTCAAACAGAGGGGTCTCGAAGGCAGGGCCGGCTAGGAGAACTTGGGGACTGGATGCACCAGCAACACCTGTGGACATCTTTGCAGAAGACCCGATTTCCCAGGCTCTATTTTCCAGTCAGAGAGCATGGTGTAATAGTGACAGGTCCCATGTGCCTTCTGCAGGGACACAAGATAGCGGTGTCCCTGTTCGGGGCACGGACCTCAGGCAGGTCGAGGACCAGGCAGGTGTGGCCAGGGCCCTGTCACATGGGATGTGGCTGCACAGTGCTCTCCCAACCAGGGCCTGCCCCTCTGCTCCCGGGGCTCCAGGAAGCCCAGGAGAGGCTCCTGGAGGCAGGGAGACAGGCCCTTCTGCTGTCTCCCCGGGTAGAGCGCCCCTTTGCCTGGCATGGCTTAAGGCAGCCCCCTGAACGCCGGCGTCCTCGGCCCGGCAGGGCGGCGAGGCAGGGGCTGCAGGCTGGGCGGGCGGACAGGACAAGGGCGCCTCGGGGCCCCTGCTTAGGAACCTGCCCTGGAAGCACAAATGTCAGTGACATGTCAGCTCCCAACTGACGAGGGGCTGACCCACAGGCCCGGCGCTGAGCTGCGCTGGCACTGCTCCACCCGCTGTGTTCCAGTGTGTTCTCGAACCTAACAGAAACCTCCAGAGTGCAAATCTATGTACAGAGTAAGGCGGCAGGAAGGGGGTCCTCACTGACCTCGTGGAACATGTCCATCCCTGAGAAAGGGGGTTCAACTCCGCGGAATCTCACCTTCGTGGGCATGTCTATTGTGCAATCTGTGGATGGTGTTTTTTGAAATTTTTTTGTTGTTTTTTTACAAATTAACACCTGAGGTGAAGAAAATTGTTTTTTGTTGACTTCATAAAGTTCTCTCTTCTTTCTTATTACAAAAGGACAAGACACGGGATCACAGAGGGAGTGAGAGCATCTGCTCATGGCTGTCGTAGGGAGGGTCCGGCCGGCCCGGGGACGGGGCAGGGGCCGGCTGCGGGGAGGCGGGCGGGGGCTGTGCTACTGCGGAGACGCCGGCGGGCGCTCAGGGCGAGCTGGCCGGGCTGATGGTGGGGCTGCTGGCGTCAGAACGGCTGTAGTCGCTGAGCGAGCCGGTCCGCGAGCCCCCGCCGCGCCGCTGCAGCATGCCCGGGTGGAAGTTGGCGTGGCGGCGCGCGTGCTTCGTCAGGTGGTCGCTGCGCATGAAGCGCTTCTCGCAGATGGGGCAGCTGAACTTCTTCTCGCCCGTGTGCGTGCGGTAGTGCCGCGCCAGCTCGTCAGAGCGCGCGAACTTCTTGTTGCAGTCCTGCCAGCTGCAGGCAAATGGCCTCTCACCTGCGGGCGACATGGGCGGAGCGTTAGTCTCAGGGCAGCCCACAGCCTCTCCCCTGTCCCCAAACCTGCTCCTCCTCAGCCCTGCCGCGCCCACCCCTCGGTGCATCCCCCTGTTCCGCGCCCTTCGCCACCAGCCTCTACGACAAATCCATCAGGGCAAAAGGGCGTGTGCCAGTGCCCTCCCACCTGCACCCTGGGATGTAAGCAGACATCTCCCAGGATGAAATCGCAGCAGCTCAGGTGCTGTGGCATCAGGGCCCGTGGCCCCTGGCAGTGGCCCCCCTAAGTACACAGCAGAGTGTGCCACCCAACAGCTCCTGCAGGGCCAGCTGTCCCTGGGCTGTGAGGAGCAGACACCTGTCCTCAGGCTCGAAGACTGGGAGCCAGGAGAAAAGGGTCCAGGGCCCAGAGAGGGCTCGCATGTCTGTGCGAGTCCAGCCGCCTCATATGCCAGCCCCAAGGGAGCCACACTCCAGAGCTCCACACCCCTGCAGGGCCCTGAGACAGTTCCCCAACCAGAGTGCTCAGCCACCTTTCTGACCCTCCTCAGTCTCCATCTGTAACATGAGGGGGTCAGACCAGGCAATTTCCAGGGCCTCAGAGTCTATGACCAAGATGTCTCTCTCACCCCGGCAGCCTCCATCTAGAGTCTGCTACTCCTTCTCACAGAGAAGTTCCAACGTGGCCAACAGGTGACAGCCAGCTGAGCAGGAGACTGCACCAGACTCCTGAAGACCCAAGCACGGTGACAGACAAGGGTGGCTTCCCAGAACACCCCGTGAGAGGGAGGTAATGAAGGTCAGCTACAGTAAGGACCCTGCTCAGAGCAAGGGACAGGCCAGCATTTACCCAGGAAACTGAACCACAGAAAACGACACCCACTGCTCAAGGAGAAACATTTGCAGGGGGTTCTGGCACCCCAGAATGCTGCTCTTCTGGCACTGCGTGTGGCCGCACGGCCACCCTTCTTGCCCTGTCTCTCTCTTTCCCTCCCCTACTCAAGCCCTAAAGCAGAGAGGCAGTCCTTGAAGCTGGCCCACCTGTGGCCAGCAGAGGACATCCACACCACCCACTCCAAATGAGCCCATCAACTTTAAATATAAACAGACACCCAGGGAAGGCCAGATGGCCCAGGAAAACCAGTGGCATGAAAGGGAAAGGCCAAGAGCAACAAAACCACTGACTCCAGAGGAAAAAGAGCAGAGCCAGGAAACAGAAGAGAATGTTAACCTAAAAATTCTCATTAGTATTCTCAGAGATATTTCAGACAAAATATTATGCATAAAGCAAACAGGATACCATAGAAAGAAAGTTCAGAGAACAAAAAATAATGTTTAAAAATTGAGAGTATTATTGCGCAAACAAAAATTCCATAGAAAAGCTGGGAATATACTCAAGGAAATAAGCCAGAAAAAGAGAAAAGAAAAAAAAAAACTCTAGAAAATATGTGAATGTCACAGTGTTCTCTGTCTCCTAGTAATCCTGAAGTTGAGGACTGTGTGTGGCTGTATTTGCTCTCCTTATTGATTTTATGTTTTAGGGGGAATGGTATGGGGGGTGCGAATTGAAATCAAATAGGACAGCAAACCATCATTTCTAAAACCTATCTGATAGTTACAAACAGTATGAGCTAAAAGTTCAGAGTCACAGGGAATCAGTCCTGCGGGCGCAACATCTAACAGAAGGCACTGAGTAAAAGCACAAAAAATAGAGGAGAGGAAATTACCAAAGAAACAATAGAACAGTATCTGACAGAGTGAAAAATGAAGAAGGAGGAGACAGGAGACTACTATGGGAAGGGTTGGCCCAGAGGGAGGCAGGGTAGTGAGTAAAGGCTCCTGCTCCAAGAATTTCTGCAATGTCAGAACACTGGGTAAAAAGAGATCACAAAACTTAACAGAGACAGAGAGGAGAAACAAACACCATGTCATCTGTGAGGGAACAAGGCTGGGACAGACACCAGACTTATAAGTCACACTGGATGCTAGACAACAGAGAAACAGGGCTTTCCAAGTTTACCTCTCACACTCCAGCAAAAACAAGAAAAAACAAAGTCAGGGAAGTGAGTTAACAATGAACGGGCGTCTCAGGACAAGAGTGAGGCAGAGAGCTGGGGGACCATGGGAGCAGAGGGCCAGGACTCAGGGAGGGATAATTCCAAGAAAGAGAGTTCTGTGCATGAGAGAGTATGATCAAGAGGCTGAATACACTTCAGGACACAGTGAAGGCACATACTATTCTTTGGTTAAAAGAAAAAAGTGAGGCAATTAGAAACTCCAGGAAAAATAGAAGACATGCAAGAAAACTGTGATCTAAATTAGAAGCAAACTAAAATGCCACATGATTATCAGCAATCAGGGAAGAGCTCTGAGCCAACCACTGTTGTAGAGGCTTTTTCTACGTTATATTATTTACGCTTCATGACAACCCCATGAGGCAGCAGAAGGGAATGTAATCCTAGCACGGGCCCTCACGTAGGGAAGCAATCTTAACACAGTCATGATCATGTGAACCCTAGCACTAGCTGTCAGTGTTTAGAATCAATCTTATAGACAAAGCCCATACAACTGACTCACGGACCCAGTAGAGAACATGGATTTAAGAGCAAGGAACACACACATATACAAAGAAAATCTCTAAATGAGATTAAAGTTATAAGGATAATCAACAACAAAAAAATTAAAATAATAATATATCCATCAATTCAGGAGGAGGTTAGGGGAGGGATAGGAATGAGATAAATCCTTAAATTTCATGGCAGGGATTTAACAGATAGTATCTAATTTGATAAATCAAGAAAGAACAATAAAATCATATAGTTTATTTACGGTAGTAACCACCAAGACAACTAAAATCAAAACAGTGTTGGTCTCTGGGGAGTGAGGTTGGATTGGGAAGAGGATTTTTTTTGTTGTAAGCTCTTCCGTGTTATGTGTCTTTTTAAAAACTCATATGCATTTATTTCTTTGATAACAATACAAAGAAATGTTTAAATATAATTCTTTAAATATCTAGCCCAACATTTCCCAAACCATATTCAAAGAAATGTTATAATTGAATAAATCGTTAATCAGTTCCAGGGGAAAAAAGTCTTGTCAATAAAAAAGTTTGAGAAACACAGCACGATAATTCTGCTCTAGGATATTCACACCCATGTTTGTCATTAAATGCTTGGAAAGGTCCAGCATTAAATAGAATGGTATCATTTTGTGTGACCAGGTGCTGAACTAAAGAACCTGGTGCATCAAGTCCGACGGATGAGGCTCAGATCCAGTCTCCACGGTGTATTGAAGCGGTGGCCTCAGACAAGAGCCTCATTGCCCATAATGGGGTAAACAGAGGCCTCTCAAAAGATATGTCCAAGTCCTGATCCCTGAAACCTGTGAATGTGACCTCATTTGGAAAAAGGGTCTTTGCAGATATAATTAAGGTAAGGATCTTGACATGAGATAACAAATGTTCCTTAGAAGAGAAGGGGAAAGGACACAGAGAAAAGAAGGCCACATGACAACAGAGGAAGAGACTGGAGTGGTGTGTCTACAAGCCAAGGAACTCTAACCATTGCAGGCAGTCACCAGAAGCTTGGAGAGAAGCATTAAATGGACTCTCCCTCAGAAGCTCTAGAAGGAACTGCCAACACCTTGATTTCAGCCTTCTGCCCTCCAAAACAGTGAGAGAGTACATTTCTGTTGTTTTAAGCCACCTAGTTTGTGGTCATTTGTTACGGCAGCCACTGGAAACGAACACATTGTCCCATGCTCATAGTGGGGTCCACAGGGTGATTCCATGGGGTCACACACAACCTGTGCCTGGCACAGGCCAAATGCTTACTCCTGAAATGTTAGCTATTATTGTTGCTCTGATCCATTATTCTTCTCAACTAGGTCTTTTAGATTTGGGTGTGTGAGGGAGAAAAAGAAACAACCCAAATTCAAACTCACCCTTGCTTGTTAATAAGCCCTGGGCCCTCATTGGGGGCTTGCAACACTGAGAGATACATGAGGAGGGTATAATTACAGATGGGCTACATGATGTCGGGTCCACAGAGAACTGCAACATGAATGGGATGGGATGCTGGTGCCCGGCAGCCTCGAGTGGCTGGGGAAAGCCTAGCATCACCACTCAGCCAGCACACAGCTCTTGGCCTGTCTGGGCGTCAGCAGCTTGACACTTTTATTGAGCACAAACCCGATGCCTGGCCCTGGGGACATGGTTGTGATGCCGACAGACAGAGTCCTCCCCGCCCCATTCTCTCTATCTCTGTCAGCCGGTTCCAGGAGGGGAGACGGCCAGTAAACTGGTCCACAAACAGACGGATAAAATAACAGAAGTTATGATTCATGCTGGCAAACAGCAGCACCAGGGTCTGGCTGGGCTGGCCTCTGGGTGGTGACATTCACGCGGCACCCAGGAGGCTGACAAGGAGCAGCCAGGA